CCTCTCTAACTAACCATAACATAATTCACTAACTCTCACCCCTTAACTGCCTCTTCAACGAAATTCCTATCCTCTCCAAACAGTCCAACAAACCTCAACTAACTTCCTAACCCCATCTCAACAGAATTCAACAAACAGGTTGTAACAGATATCAGAATAGAGGCGGAGGAGAGAATTCAGTTACAAAAGAATACAGAAAATATCAGAAGAAGGGAGAGAGATTCATGATTCACTCAACAAACTAAGATTCAGAAAACAAAAAAATCTCACCAACAAGAAATCTTGATTCTCTTTCTGAACTCCTCATCACCATCTTCACCTCCTTCAACCGATTTACTTCAACCTCCATCAATATTCTGCAACCTTCAACCACAGCACCATCCTTCTCTATCATCAACCTTCAAGAATCGACATCTTCATCAATTCTCTGCAAACTACTTTAATCTTCAATCCGCATCAAGCACAACTTCAATCATCATCTTCTATTCTACAGCACTACAAGAAAGTGGAAATCGCAAGAGCATCAGCGCAACATCGTTTGCTTTCAACCACAACAACTTCTGCGCGCTGCAAGAACAACAACACATCAATTTAATCACGCAGAAAAGAGGCGAATAAGAAGAAAATGATTTTGGATGCTTACATAATTGCTTTGAAGATCAGGTTCCTGATTTCTTCCCATCGACGTTGAAGAATCATCGGAATTTGCTCTGGCAAAGCGCTTTTGAAAGCTTCAATTGGAGCACCTCCACGGATCTAACAGTGATTCAAGGTGAAGGTTTGAAGAGATAAGGTTAAGACGCGGCATTTTGTAGTAGCAATTGATGTTTTCTGGCGATGATAACAGTGGTTACAATGGATATTCGTTGGAAGAAGAAGAAGAAGAAGATTGAATTGGAGAGAGAAGACGAAGTGCAAAAAACAGAAACACGAAAGAGTGCGTACCTGAGCTTCTACAGACGTCCGTTGATTTTCTCGTCATCGGCGTAGCTGTTGAAGAAGCACCAGACTTCTCTCAGGTAGGTAAGCCTTGCACTCATTCAATCTTTGATCTCTTCTATCTCTTTCACATCTTTGAGTGGCTTGAAGCGTGTAGAACTGTAGCATACAGTGTCTGATGTAGTTAATTTCCCTTAAACTTGGGTTTAGATAGAAGTTTGGTTAGATGAAGAAGAGACAAGGTGAAATAGATGGGAAGGAGGTAAAAGTTTGAAGGACTGAGGCTGAGACGGTTTTTGTGGTGGCAATCAGTGTTGTTGGCCAAACGACATTATTTCTCTTTCTTTTTAATATATATTTTTTTAAATAAAGCTAAAATCTGAGTGAATTGGATTTGTGGATTGTTGATGGACCTAGTGCATGTCACCATTGGGACTTTCCATACTCACACCTACCTAAGCTTGTTGCCACACTTTATTTTGGAAGCCTGAAGTATTGGAACAAAAAAAAATATTGGTGGACTCAAACTGAGTAGGCTTACCGCATATATCTTCTGATCACACACCCATCTAAGATTTTTTGATAGAATGATAAATGTAATTTTCACAATGTAGAATGCTCGGGGGTTAATTTTTGATAACTCGTGTGGAGCAGTTTCTGTAGAGTTTTCTTATCGCTTGCATGGTTTTGAAGAGGAAACGAACTTTCTCCGTTCGGTATCATCGTGACCTTTATTTTATCCCTCATTTATGCTCTTTATCGTATTTCTTTACCGCTTTTCTAGATATCATGAGAAGTAGGAAATAAAGAGTGTGCGCTTGAAGTCGCGGTTTAAAGACCTGTAGCAGGAATTTCGCACTTTATTTGCTATATGCATTGTGCTTGTGTTTGTTTCTTTAGTTGTTGATCGATGAGTCACTCAATTTAGGAATTGAGATCACGACTTCACTCTCAGTGCATACTCCCTATAGGATTTTATCGCTTTCCTTTACTTTTGGTTGATCGATGAGTCACTCAATTTAGAAATTAAGATCATGAATTCGCTCTCATTGCATGTTCCCTATAGGATAGTTTTGTTAGACTTTCTTTGGCATGCTAACCTAGATAGGAACTCTCTAGGTGTGCTCTCTTGAGTTTATTAGCTTGTTTGCTTTATCCTTGTACATACCATGTTCCCTTAGGATGTGCTTGCTCCTTTCGGACGCAAGTTAGACCTTAGGTTGCAAACCATGCAAACTAACATTAGGTAGACGTTTCCCTTTTGTTAATCCAAACCTTAGGACTACCATTGTATGATAATATTAGGTTAGAAATAGGCTAGTCCCCCTTAGACTCTTTTCTTCCCCTTTTTGTATCCTTGCATCTAAAACTAAAACTCTTTTTCTTAGCAAATCATAAAACATGCTAATCTCACTTAAACCCTTTTTCAAGGTAAAAAAAAACACAAACCAATTCAAACCTTTTTGTGCGTCTAAGCACCTTTTCTCAGAAAACCCTTTTCAGGTAAGGACATGATTGATTTACTTCTGTGTCAATGCATAAGTCTCCAAAGGTCGAGTTGCGATAGAAGGCGAAATTAGCATCGCTCATAAAAAAACACAAAAAAAATAAAAACATGTGAGCCGAACTACAGTAGCTCTGATTCCTCAAAAAAGATACGTAGGCATTGGGGTAGGACTCAAGCGAGTACAATTTTATTTTCCCTACATTCTTTTCTCCTTTCTTTTGCATGCATTCCCCCTTTAACAGTAGTAAACAGTAAGCACAGATTAACACATCCATAAGATAGATAACAAGAGTGGATACCGTAAAATACTACGGGCGTGTGGGGTGCTAATATATTCCCCTCGTGTAATAGACTCCTTTACCCGATCTCTCGGTCGCAAGACCGTGACTTCTCAATTCTCAGGATTTCTCGATGTTTACCTTTCCCTTCATGTGGAATAAAAGACGTTTGATGACGACTTCATTGTTTGATGATTTTCAGCCGGTTGTTTCACACACACACGACAATCCTAAGAGACAATGGTTAACACATAGAAACGCTTACACACGGTACCTGATAACTAGCGCGCACCTTTTATCCATCACTTGCAAATAAAGAGTCATCCAACGACGATAACAGCTCTGCAATTATACATTTTAAATTGTCATGCTAAAATGTATAGTAAAATAGGAAAAGGAATTAAGTCGAATGATACGAAGTGTTCGTATCATACATATTAACTACAGAAAGCCTAAAATTACAAATTTCATTACAAACACAATTTGTCTATGGCCTTTCTGCAAACACCTAGCAATGACAACTTCAACCATAAAAACCATTTCCCCCAAGTTCAATTAGAGATATATAAGTTCGCAATTGATAATCAATGATGATATTATAGAGCAAAAAGACAACACATGAAAAGAACAATGGTTAGAACAACTCATTGGGAAGCATGTTAATGTCTCTGTGAAAGACACAAACCCTGCATCGCAAACTACCCTTCTGCTACCAACTACCCAGAACCACGCCCTTTCCGCAACCAACTGTGAGAATCGCTTCAATCACATCCAAACTGCGGCCACAACCATCGTAGCCATATTCCCCTTTTTTATTTCATGTTCTTCTTCGATAAAGAATCTACCACTTTCAAACTGCCCATCACCGTGAAGAGGAAGAAGGAAGATGAGGAGGAAGAGAGAAGATGAGGAGGAAGAAGTTTGAAAGAAAAACAGTTCTTACAATATTGAAACGCTCCCTCAATGCCATGACTGGTAAAAAAATGTAACCGACATAGGGAGGTAGTGGAATGAGGAGAAGTGGAAACGAATGGTTGTGTAACCAACAATTTTAAGGTTCGATGAAATAAGGAATAGGGAGAAAGGGATTAATTTTAAAAGAAAATTTTGGTTGGAACAAAAATTTAATTTGCCTAACACACATAAAGCCCCATGTTGTGTTTTTAAAACAAAAAGATAAAACAAGATTTTTGGATAGATTGAATTTTCTTATATTATAGAAATCCATTTATGGTGTATATAAACACAAATTCAAGGAGACGAGAAGAACCCTCAAATACTATTTTAAAATGAGTACAAATGGGAACCGAATAAATTGGAGATATGTATGAAATTTTCAGCACTTGCAAGAAACAAAACGTTGAGAGACAGACAAGAAACTACAATGTGAATGCTTCCAACAAAACCACTACTAGCCAAAACCCTTTTCATTCTCTTATTATTTAGGACAATATAAACCATTTTGTCAAAGCCAGAAAAACCCCTCATTCTCTTATTATTTAATAAACCAAAGTTGTTCCAAGTATTTTATCTTGTATCAATTTCATTAACAACAAACTAACCACCAAGCTTACAAGTAACTTAAATATTGATTTTCATTGCCAATATGCCAATATGAAGAAAAAAATAAAGAATAAGCAGTGTTTCACCTTACTTAATCAATCATTTAATAACACATTCTATTTCAAGTCAAGCAATTGAAAACATTACCAACCTACTACTCATCATTATTATAACATATAGTACTATAATTATGCATTATAAAATGCATACCATTACCATTATCAGTCATGGTCAGCAACATCATGCTGCCTGCTGTTAACATTTTGTCTTCATTCAACGATATCAATCCCACTCCTAATCCTCATATTTAAACAAAAGATTCCTCAATAAAAAAACAAAAGCAAAATATACAAAAACTGAACACAAACATTGAAGAAAGTATATAGAAAAGTTTCACACATGAAAAAAGTAACAATAGTATCTGCTATCTATAATTGCAAAACGTAGTTATTCATTCATTCACCTATTTACATATATTTATACTATAACCTTTTTTTTTTTGGCTGGAGGGTATTACAAGTTACAAGATAGATAGATCCATGGTATGTATTAGGTGGCAAAGAAAAAAAAAACTACAATGATTATTTGTTTTGTTCTTTTTTTTTTTTTTGTATCTATTCATGGTTTCGCCACAGATGTAGCCTCATAACAACTCCAAAGAAAACTGATAAGAATCATATGTTCTTTGCACCAGAGCACACATCCTTGTTTGTCTACGGTTTGAAGCAAAACCACTTTTTCTGCACAAACAAAATAGAGTGTAAATAATAAATTTCACCTTCATAAATCATAACAGACACTATTTTTGTTATTTTAAAGAGAAAAACAATTGAATTAATATGTTACTTTGGCAGATTTATCATCTTCTTTGCGCGACTCAGATCTTCGTTGTGAATTAATTCGGGCCGATCCTCCTCCGCCAGTTTTTTTCTCATCTCTGGCTTTGTTGAATATAACAGTGAATCCTTCAGCTGATGCAGGATCATTTACATCCCAGTCCCCGAATTTGGGCAAAGGCTTTCCTTGTTGTTCATACTGCATATGCGTATATAAATTCAAAACATTGATTGAATATAAATGATGATCAAGATATCCTTTTGTACATAATAAAAGAAAGATGATTCATTTATGTTAAATTGTGAAAATTGCATAAAATCATTGGTATGGATTGGACAGAGGACTTACCGAAGTCATGGTGTTTGAAGGTTTGTGATGATTGGTGGTTTACCCAAATTTCTGAAGGGGAAAAGGAATATAGACAACAAAGAAGAGAAAAATTATAAAGGAAGAAGAAGAAGAGAATGAAATGAATTAAAAACAGATTGGAAATGTAAGATTTTATAACAAGGGTGAGGAATGTGAAACGATGCGGAATGCAAGCTGTTGTTACATTCCTTATTGGCCCACTCGTACAACACGCGGCTGATTTGGTTTTTCTGTTTTTGTTTTTCCTTTTATTTTTAGGAGAATATTCCTTTAAAGGGTAACAGAAAATGATGGGCCATTTTCCAAATATGGTTAACTCATCAATCTAAACAGGCAATAACAATTACAACATTAACCAACCCAACTGATCTAGTTTTTTTTTATTACAAATATCAGTTAACAATTTACGGTAAATGAATCGAACGACAAGGGTTTCGACGTAATTACAGCAGAAATCTATATAGATTTGAATTTGTTTTTTCTAAAAAATGGAGACTGTATGTGCAAACAGATCTCTTGGCTTGGATTGGCCTCTGTACCATAATTCTTGTATACATAACACCAAATCCGGACCGGGACGCGGATGGTTGAGGAGAAATAGGAGGTTGAACAATGTAGATGAGGCGATTTATCTATTGAGATTTTTTTTACCGGGAGTTATGGATTGACTCGATTCATTTTTGCTTCGATGTGTACTTCCATAAAAGCCCTCCTATCAGGTTGTTCACTGCATGAGAAGCCATGGGAACTGCGAGGCTAGAAGATAAAACGGTAGCGTATCCATAAGCAAGACCAACAAAGGTTGCCCTGATGGAAGAAAAAAAAGATTCTAATTAGATCATGATTAACAACACAACAATGAAAAGTTGATGTGATCTATGGCCTTTGAATCAGCAATCCAATTTTCAAAATTAGGGATCAAGAGATGAAAGTGGGAGGTGAGGGGAAGAATTTAGAAAGATATGCACCAGATGGCGAAGGAATACTTTCGACCGTTGCCAATGTGCAAAACACCAAAGATAAAAGCTGCTACACCAATACTCTGCCAGTTCATTCCTAAAAGTGGCAGAACTGCACCACGAAAAAGTAGTTCCTGGAATTCGGGATGATAAGATGTCATTTTGGGTTAAATAATGAAAATTAAATAGGAATGGTAAAATAAGCCGAAAAGAGTAGCTGTGTTTTAACCTCGCTAATTCCAGGCAAAAACGCAACGACAATATAATCCAAAGGTTGGAGTGAGCTAAGGACCTGATTGGGAAAACAAAATATTTTCAGAATTAAGAAACAGAAAAAATGACAAACAAAAAGTTATCACAGGCAGGACAGATTTATATTCTAAAGTCGGTAAATCAGATTTAAAAGTTAACTTAAAATTGTGTGTAGTAGACCAATCTTGATTCAGCAGTGCTTAATGTCTGGCTGCAGTGAGAGTATGATATTTTGATCATAGAGATTCTATTTCATTCAGTTACCTGGGTATTGGCGGCTTCACTGGACTCGGTAAAATCTGGCCAAGTCTTCAATAGCAAATAGCGGCTCGATGATATTAATACTACAAGTCCTGTAATCAACTCAAGATGCCACATTTCAAAACCAACTGCAAATAAGAGACAAATATCTTAAGATACTTCACACACAATAAGAAACATTTTCAACACATTTGTCAAGCATTTACCACAAGAAACAAGCTGATTACATGAACTCGACATAAATCATGCTTAGATCCATTAAAAGTCACTTCTAGTTAGTTTTAAAGTTCCACCACCAGAATATGAGATAGTTTAAGACTACATGCCAGTGTTTATGAAAAAATCACAATTTCACAATAAAAAGACCCGATCATGTCTAGCTTCATTCCAATTATTAAGAACAGTCCACAAACAAAGATGAAACAATGTACTTTCTTTCAAGCTTTATGGTTGAAAATTTGAAAATTATCCAACCTTCATGTTCAATAATTTTCCCCGGCATACTGTTAGTTGTATAATTCTTGTTCAGATATATTTGGACTTTTAGCATGTGTATTTGGGCCTGGGCACTTTATCTATATAAAGGGTCAGTATGTTTATAATCAAAGCAGTAATAATAATACTTTCAGTTAGAAAGTTAGTTACACTTAACTAATTCACAATTTCTCTCCCTTCTCTTCTTCTTTTTCTTGTTTTCTCAAAATCATTTTTCTTGAATCTTTTGTTCCAACAAATTGGTATCAAGAGTTTGTTTGCGATTCAGAGAGAATCTAATGACAAACAGATCAACAACATCAACACAATTTCCAACGAATCTACCGGTTTTCAAAGGTGAAAACTATTAACGGTGGGTTGCGCAAATGAAGGTTATTTTCAGATTTCAAGATGTCGTAGAAATCTTGAATGATGGAATATCAGAACTGGAAATAGATGCTACGGAAGTCCAGAAAGCTGCGCACAAAGATCAGAGGAAGAAAGATGGCAAGGCGTTGTTCTTGATTCACCAGTGTGTGACGTATTCGAGAAGATAATTGAAGAAGAAACAGCAAAAGGAACTTGGGAAAAGCTGAAATCCTTGTATGGTGGAGATGAGAAACTGAAGAAGGTGAAGTTACAGACATTGAGGAAGCAATACGAGATGCTTCAGATGAAAGAGGTTGAATCTATTTCTGCATATTTCTCAAGAATTGTGACGCTAACAAACCAAATGAAGGCATGTGGTGAAGCGTGTACGGATCTGCAAAAGATAGAAAATGTATTGAGATCTTTAATCGCAAATTTCGATTGCTTTGTGACAATTGAAGAGGCCAAGAATCTATCTGAGATGAAGTTGGAAGAACTTCAAGCTTTATTGGAGGCTCACGAAATGAGGCTGCAGCAGAGAAACTCAGAAAGAGAGAAGGCAGTTGAACAAGCATTGCAATCAAGATTCAGCAAGAAAGCTGGAAAAGATAAGTCGAAGCAGCGAAAGAATCTTGCCAGTGAGAAGTCAAGCAAGAATACTGACTCGAATGGTGTAGGCAACAAGTATTCTGGGAAGAAAGTTGACACGAAAGAGGTGCAATGTTACAATTGTCATGGTTTTGGCCACTATGCTAGAGACTGTCGAAGAAACAAAGTTGTGAGGTCGAAAGATAGTGATGAAGCTCAATATGCACGAGCTGGAGATAGTGATTCTGATGATGTGTTGTTGCTGGTGAACACTCAGTCGACTACTGAGAAAAACAACATGTGGTATCTGGATTCAGGATGTAGCAACCACATGACTGGAAATAAAAACTGGTTTACCAAATTAGATGAATCAATCGAAAAGATGATAAAGTTTGCAGATGGCAGGCATATCAAATCAGGTGGTAAAGGAGATATTTCGATTATCAGAAAGGATGGTCGAAAGGCTACTATCACTGAAGTTCTATATGTACCTTCGATGACAAGTAACTTGATAAGTGTAGGTCAATTACTTGCAAAAGGATTCAATATGAAGTTGGAGAATAATCATATGAAGGTATATAGGGCTGATGGGAGGCTAATAATGAAAGCACCATTGGCGGAGAACAAAACGTTCAAGATTGAACTCAACACATCAGATCACAAATGTCTTGCTTCGACTACAGAAGAAGACAAGAACTGGCTATGGCATCACAGGTATGGACATCTAAACTTCAAGAGTTTATGTATGCTCGATAAGAAAAGAATTGTGCTTGGGTTGCCGTATGTGAAATAACCAAAGCAGATATGTGAGGAATGCTGCAAAGTTAAACAGGCAAGGAAGGCGTTCAAAGGTGACTTGCCTATAAGATCAAGGCAAAAACTAGAGTTGGTTCATTCAGATGTGTATGGACCCTTTGAAGTTAAGTCGAATGGGGGTAACAGGTATTTCCTTACTTTCATTGATGAATTCACCAGACATATGTGGATTTACCTTATTGAAAAGAAAAGTGAGGTATTCACACAGTTCAAGAAGTTCAAGTTGCATGCTGAGAAACAAAGTGGCTGCAAATTGAAGAAGTTAAGAACTGATGGTGGTGGTGAATATACTTCTGTTGAATTTGCTAGATTTTGCAATGAGGAAGGTATAGAGCATGAGGTTATTGCACCCTATACGCCTCAGCATAATGGCATAGCTGAGAGAAAGAGTAGAAGTGTACTGAACATGACGAGATGCATGTTGAAAGCTAAGAACATGCCTAAGAGATTTTGGACTGAAGCAGCTTCGACAACAGTATACATTCTAAATAGATGCCCAACGAAGAAGATGGTCGAAAGACACCGCATGAGGCTTGGAAAGGGTCGAAGCCAAATGTAAGTCATCTTAGAGTTTTTGGATCAATATGTTTCAGGCATGTACCTGAACAATTGAGAAAAAAGTTGGATGATCGAAGTGAAGTCGTGATGCTCATAGGTTTTCATTCGACTGGTGCATACAAGTTGTATTCACCAATCGAAGATAAACTATTGATCAATAGATATGTTCTTGTAGACGAAAGCAAAGGGTGGGATTGGAGTCAAAGTTTAGTTCGACAAGAATCAGACACAGTCACAACTGTTTTCGAAGAAGATGAACAGAACGAAGCTTCGACAAGTTGAAATGAACAAGGTGATACCTCGACTGGTCGAAATGAAGAACCACCTATGCAGAATGAAAGAAGATCCACAAGGACAAGAACTGACTCGACTAGGCTGATTGGATATGAGAGGTTTCCAAATCAAGCAACCGATGCAGATGGTGACTTAATCGAAGAAGCCATGATGATGAATGAAGCAGAACCAATTGATTTGGACGAAGCCTTGAGCAATACAAATTGGTGTGAAGCCATGAAAGAAGAACTTAGAGCCATTGAGAAGAACAAGACTTGGGAGCTTGTCGAAAGAACCAACAAGAAACCAATCGATGTGAAATGGATCTACAAGGTGCAACGAAGGTCAAATGGTGAGATTGCAAAGTATAAGGCAAGACTGGTGGCCAGAGGTTTTCTACAACAACCTGGTATTGACTTTGATGAAGTATATGCGCCTGTTGCGGGGATCGAAACAATCAGGATAGTTGTTTCGATAGCTGCATGTAGAGGATGGAAAATGCATCAACTTGATGTAAAGTCAGCATTTTTGAATGGTCCATCGGAAGAAGAAGTCTTCGTTACTTAACCACCTGGTTTCGACGTCAAAGGGCAGGAGTCGAAAGTTTACAGATTAAGGAAGGCTCTCTATGGCTTGAAGCAAACTCCTAGAGCTTGGAATAAAAGGATAGATAGCTTCCTAATCGAAACAGATTTCACAAAGTGTGTCTCTGAACATGGAGTATATGTAAATGATGTCGAAAGTGTCAATCGAATCATTTTATGTCTCTATGTTGATGACTTACTCATTACAGGAGCAGACGAAGCTGAGATAATGAAGGTAAAGTCGAAGTTAATGCAGGAATTCGAAATGTCTGATTTAGGGAATCTCTCCTATTTCTTGAGAATGGAATTCAAAGACATCGAAGAAGGATTTTTCTTGCATCAAACGAAGTATGCTCAAAATATACTGAAGAGGTTCCATATGAGCAACTGTAAGGCAGCTGTTACTCCATTAGAGACTGGAGCAAAGCTGAAAAAGGAATCGAATGATGAATTTGTAAGTTCGACCCTTTACAAACAAATCATTGGATCCTTGAGGTATCTTTGCAATACTAGACCAGATATCTGCCAAAGTGTGGGATTGTTAAGCAGATTTATGGAGAAGCCTCAAGAATGTCATCTCATCGCAGTAAAGAGGGTGTTGAGATACATAAAGGGAACTATTGATCATGGTGTGCTGTTACCAAAGAAATCGAAGAACAACTCAGATGTCGAAGTTCATGGATACACTGACTCAGACTTCAGTGAAGATAAAGACGAAAAGAAGAGTACTGCAGGATACATTTTCATGATTGAAGGAGCTCCAATCTCCTGGAGTTCGAGGAAGCAAAGCATTGTGGCTTTGTCATCATGCGAAGCAGAATATGTGGTTGCATCATATGTTGCATGCCAAGCAGCATGGATCGAAATGCTACTTGAAGAACTCAGAATAATGAAATTAAAGATGAAGTTGTTTGTTGATAACAATTCAGCTATAAACCTTGTGAATCACCCAGTGTGTCATGGTCGAAGTAAACACATTGAAAGAAGGTATCATTTTCTGAGGGATCAAGTCAATAAAGGGAAACTCGAAATTAAACATTGCAAGACACAAGTGCAACTAGCTGACATATTCACCAAACCTCTGAAGAAAGTAAGGTTCGAAGAGTTAAAGAAAGACATTGGGATGAAAAGTCTCAAAAACATGAATTAGGGGGTGTGTTAGTTGTATAATTCTTGTTCAGATATATTTGGGCTTTTAGCATGTGTATTTAGGCTTGGGCATTTTGCCTATATAAAGGGTCAGTATATTTGTAATCAAAGCAGAAATAATAATACATTCCGTTAGAAAGTTAGTTACACTTAACTAACTTACAATTTCTCTCTCTTCTCTTCTTCTTCTTGTTTTCTCAAAATCATCTTTCTTGAATCCTTTGTTCCAACACATACCACACGAAAATCCAAAATTGCAAGGTGCATTTCAGTATGCCACCAACACCATTACTACTTTATATTTGAGAAGAACGCATCTTTTATGCAATTAGGAGCTCATAAATAGTTCTTGATTCAGATTATCTTGTTATGAATTCGGATTAAAGGGAATTCGCAGAAGTTTGAAAAAACAAAAATAGCATGATTAAATAAAAATTTAAAAAAAAAAGCGTCATACATGATACTTCTGTAGAGCAATCCAAGACCGACAATCCTTCTATGGACGCAACATGAGACACCTGCAAGTAGCATAAACTAATAACCTTGAATGATATTTGATAAATTTAAGAACTCAATAATATAACTTTCAACCCGAATCCAGCTTCTCCTTGATAATATGGTGAAGAAAGCTCGAATCAAACTAAAACAATTTCTATGATGGCTAAATGAAACATAGATTTCTTGTATAGGCATGTTTATATATATAAAATAGAGAATACAATAGAATTGAAAAAACGCGACAAATGGCGAAACTGATTCAACAATGTATAAAAGGAAGAGAACCTGGCGAATCAGTGTCCCAAAGGCAGCTATAAGAGCAGAAGTTAGTATGCAAGCCTGAAGCACAGCATTTCTGGAAGGAATAGGGTTACCATTCTGAGTAGGTGGTATAAAGGAAGTGTCATTTTGAACAAATTTCTCATCTAAAAGGTCACCACCATATGGCTCCGGTGGTCCTTCTCTTTTGGATTTCTTCAAAGATTTCTTGGCAAAACAACAAGTGCTATATCTACTTCCTATGAAAAAAGCAATATTGGAAACTCTTATATTTGGTGATAGGAAAATCAATTGTAAGTAGGAAAGAAATAAAAATGGAATAAATAAGTGTGAGAGTAACTAACTTGTGAAGATAGAAGCAGAATATGTGGTGTGAGCTCTACTACTTGTGCTACTGCTACCACAACAACTCCAGCACTTGAGACTGAGCGAAAGCATGAACATGTTTTTGGGTTCTTGTCCGATTTTGTGTTTTCAGACACACCCTTTCTTCTCTCAAACCGCTCTTTCATCTTTCTATTTAACACTTTTGTCAACAAATCTTTATGTTCTAGAGAATTTTTTTTATTTGGTTTTTATTTTTTATTTATTTATTCTTCTTATATTATCATCGATAAATTCTAAAAATAACCTATAATTTTTATCTTTTTTATCTGACTTTATTATTTTTCTTAATATATACTAGATGGAAGGAAAAGTAACAAAAGAGAACATAGGTTCTTTATAAAAAATTTATGATAAGGGAAGAAATGTCAATTGGAAGAAATGTCAATTGTATTCATTAACATTTAAGACAATTATATAGGAGATATTTCTTTCGATCATTATTATAAATAAAATTAATTTTTTTATTATTTCATTATATAATGAATTAAATATTTTTTATCGTTATAAATATCTCAAATCTCATTTTTTATTTTTATTAAAAAAATAATAAATTTTAATATTTTTTATTCATTTAGTTTTAGTTTTTGTTATTTTTTAATATTTTAAAAACTGTTTAATTATCTTTAAATTTTTAAATTTTTTAATAATATTTTTCATACGTGTTTAGAATATTATAAAATATTTCTTTATCAAATTTTAGAATTTTTAAAAAAAAAAGAATTAAATATGATTTTTTTAAATTTCAAAAAATATCAATAAAAATAATGAAAATCTCAACTTAGAAATCAAATTTTAAATTTCTTTTTTTCTAAGAAACTTTTATAATGTTCTAAATATGTCTACAAAATAATCATTCAAAATACACATTAGTTTAACAAGAGAGACTAAAACTATATACATAATAATTTTGTATGGACTAAAACTTATCATTATTTTAATAAAAACTAAAAATAAAATTTGAGATATTTATAGAGACCAAAAATATATTTAACCCTTATATAATTGATGAATTTAATTTATTATAATCATGTGGATTTGATTTTATTCGTTTTATCAGAAATAGTTAATCTCTTTTAAAATGATTGTTTTTTCCTGCTACTTCTTCAAGAGATAATCTCTTTTAAAATGATTGTTTTTTCCTACTACTTCTTCAAGAGAATATCTTTATAAGAGCTAACCTTGTTAAACGTAGGCAAAATGGTCTCAATCTCTTTAGAGGTTTAAAGTCACTTTTAAAGTGAGATCTTTAAAATATATTAATATATAAAAATAAAAAATTATGGTTGAGCTCAATCGATTAGGACTTGTTTGGTTGAGTCTATAATCGATTGGGATAATCTTTTAATGATTGGTAACATCTACATATCAAAACCTTTTATTTTGGGTCTCAACAACTGATTATTTAGGGTACATAATTGATTAGGCTATTAATTTGGCCTGTGGATTGTTTTATTTTTTTAGCCAAATTTTTCCTATATAAAGGAGGTTTCTCCTCGCTTTATTTCACACAAAAGTTCAGATTTTTCTTGATTCTTTACATTTTTTACTGCCTTCTCTCGCTTTAAATTTTTTTTCATCAAAGTTGCCTTAGTATTTTATGAGTGAACTACTTATGAGGAAAGTGTTGTACTGTTGTCGTGCCACTGTTTATTTTCAAGAGTGTGATACTCTTGAAGAATCGATTTTGGTTCTTGAGATCAATTATTGGAAAATATTTGTTTGATTATAGAACTCGACCTACAAAAGTTCTATTTGATTATTGAGATTAGTCGGTAAAATTTCCATGTGGTTCGTGAATTCATCCAATGGAAAAGCTTTATTTTGGTTAGGGGGATAAGCCAGTGTAAAATATTCTTTTATATCAAGGGTTCGTGGATATAACATGTAAATGCTCAATAATATAGTGAATTCTCAAGAAGATCTCTTGAGGATATGACTAGGCTAACATTCAGATGAACCTGTATAATTCTATAGTGTCATATCTCTAACCCTATCTCTTTAAGTTCTGTTATTTACTTTACTTTCCGCTGCTTTTCTCTATGACTTTACGGATACTAACACAATTTTACTTTTAAGAAATAAAATCTTTAAATTAATCACGAATTTTGAATACCATAATCCACGCTCCCCTCCTCCTCCCCCCCCCCCCCCCCCCCCCCCCCCCCCCCCCCCCCCCCCCCCTCCTCTTGGGCTTGGAGTCACTTGTCCACCAAGTGGAATTAGAGCCTAACTCCTATTAAAGACTAAATCGTTCCATGAGGAAAATAACTTCAAGCTATTTACTAAACAAACCCCCTATCATTTAATGGAGAATGTATAGCTTGTGGAAATAGAAAATGAAGTTTTTTATAGAAATGATGGATTGTGATATTTGAAAGGTTGTGAAAGAAGGCCCATTTATTTGTATAGAAGAAGTTAGTGGTGTTGTAGTAAACAAACCTGAAAATGATTAGACCAAAGGTGATAAAAATATCCAGCGTAGTTTGAAGGCAAAAACTGCATTCCTACAGCTCTCGGTCTTAATGATTTTTTTTAGTTTCTCACTACGAGACTGCAAAAGAAATGTGGGACATCCTCAAAATTATCCATGAAGGAACTAATGATGTAAAAAGGGTAAGGTTAGACACATTATGAAACCTGAAGAAAACATAAATCAAATGCAAACACAATTTACCCATATAGTGAATCATACGAGAAATCTAGGAAACACATTTTCAAATGAGGAATTGATTGGGAAAATTATGAGATGCCTAAATCGCTGTTGGCAACCTAAAGTCACTACGATTAGTGAATCTAGGGATTTGGAAACCTTGGACACACACGCTCTTTATGGTAAATTACAAGAACATGAGATGCAGTTGAAAAGGCTGCCATGGATGAGAAAGGAGAGAAGAAAAGAAAAAGTCTAACTTTTAAAGTTAGAGATTTAGAATGCGATGGAGACATGTCACTCATGGTATAAAACTTCAAAAAAAATTAAAGCATGAGAAACAACAACAAGAATAACAAGACGAAAGTAAAGAAAATACTTCATTCATTCCTACATGTTTATCAATATGGAAATAACGGACACGTCAGGCGAAATTGTTCTCTAGGGAAAAAGGCAAATTAAAATCAGAAGAAATATAATAAACCTCACAAAAGGAGAAAAATTTACATCGCATGGGAGGAAAATGACATGGAATCCTCAGATGATGAAGAGGCAAACATCTATGTCATGACAAATCATCAATATGATGAGGTAACCTCTTACATATTTCTCACCAAGATCTTTTCCGCATTTGAAAGATGCTAACAAAATAAATAAGCAAACTAGAAGAGCGTGTCTTCATCTTCAAGGACACTATTTCTTCACTTGAGTATAAAAATAAAAAAAATTGTTAAAGAAATAGAAAATATTAGAGAGAGAGAGAGAGAGAGAGAACATGATCTAGTCTAAAACTCTTCCCCTTCTAAAGAAGTGGATGAACCTGCCAAGTGCAATGAATATGACATTTTGAAAGGTGTGTTGTTTTGATCATCGAAAAACACTTGGCAGAGAAGTCGAAACAAAGAAAGAATCTTGCTAATGATGAGAAGCTGAGAAAGAATTCAAAGAGTCACTCTTATTTAACCAAGAAAGACATGGGCAAACAAGTATTCGGGGAAGAAAGTTGACATGAATGAGGTGTTGCGTTACAACTATCAAGGATTTGGTCATTATGCTTGAGACTGTCGAAGAAAGAAGGAAGCAAGAGCAAAATATAATGATGAAGTGTAGTATGAACATTCTGGAGATAGTGATAATGTTTTACTATTGGTCAATACTTAGTCGAACAATGAACTGAATATGAGAAAAACACAAGAAGGGGTTGAATTGTGTAGGCTTTTTCTTTCTTTTTCAAAACACTCTTATTAGATTCTAAGCACAGGATTTAGAATCTGATTCGAGGTAAGTTTATTTGAAGCAGATAAAAACAATATCAGAGTTAGAGAGTGAGTGAAAGAGAGACACAAGAAGTTTTATCCCAATTCCTCCCATAAAATAGGAGTAGTTTATTCCCCTTGTACTTCCAAGAGATTTCACTATAATCACTTCTAATTACAATTTTTCAAGCACACAAGCAAGAGACTTTCAATGCTCAAACACACAAGTAAGAGACTTCTAATGCTCAAGCATACAAGCAAGAGACTTCAGATGATCAAACACACAAGCAAAATACTTCTTACACTACTACAGATAACGCTTTTCATGACCAAGCTTACACTTTGAACAATGAAAAAACGAGGGTATAGCTCATGGGCGCACCGTGTTTTATTTATTTTTTAATAAAAAGCATTAGACCTTGGATATTTAATAAAACCGAGGGAAAGTAGTAATAAGGGAACTCGCTCCGACACCTAGTTGCAACATTTTATGTTTTTTTTAATTGTTTAATTAGTATTTCTCACTTGGCACCTTTCCAAATTCCATTTTTATTTTTTATTTGTTCCATTAGTATTTACCTCAGCTACATGGTCCAACTGAGAGGTAATATATTTTACATTAACATTTAATAATACTAATTTCAAAATCTTATTTTAATACTTTATTTGATATATTTTAACCCCTCGGTTTTCTACAAAAACCGGCGAGATATATCTTTTAAATAAATTCCCAGTATATGGCGGTATGAATTTTTTTATATTTTATATTTTTAAATAATACAATCACGTCAGTTTTTGTGTAAAACCGACATGACACTTATTTTGCATGAAATACTACATACTACTATCTGAACATAGAGAAAAACACAAGAAAGAGGGGTTGATTTGGGTTTTAAAACTTTTCCCTTTTTGAAAACTGTTTAATAAAACTATGAAAGAATATGGAGTGTTAGAAATATAAAGAGACACATTCAGTTTATCCAAGTTCACCTTTAACTAGGCTACATCTTATCCACCCTTCTCAGGCGATTTTGCCTACAACAAAGACTTAATCCACTATAAACCAAATTGATTACAAATACACGGGATACCCGCAGTTAACTAACAACCACATAATGACCCGCAAACCATTGTCATCTTGAGTCTTCTAA